AACCCCCCCCCCCCCCCCCCCCCCATTCGTACCCAGTGTCAGTTGCTGGTACTCGTTGCTCTCTCAAATTGATGTGGGATCTCACAATCCACCCCTTCGAGGCTCCGCATCTTCACTGGCCCACTGTCTTGTGTTTGACTCTGATATCATTTGTAACAGTCTAAGTCTACTGCTAACCGATATTGTTCTTTTTGGGTTTGCTCTTTCGAGCTTCTCCGCAAGGTTTTTAAAACGCGTTTGCTAGGTAAAGGTTTCCACACCCTTCTACTCTCCAACCGATGTAGAATCTCACAACATCGACTCGTATGTATCGTGTTTAAATAAACTTACAAATTTATATAACCAAAAAAATACATTTTGAGTCTACATTTCCCCAACATGGGACAATAGATATAAAAAGTAATTCCCAAATGTGTAGTGTTTGAAGCCATTCTCTATTATGTATTATCCTTTATTATCAGAGATAAACAAGCACTTCAATGTACATAATGTGGAAACAAATGTTCAATAAATAAATAAATAACTATGAGAGAGTAAAATAAAAACTAAATATTAAGCACCCAATAGAAAATGTTTTAACAAGACTTGTTTGGTTGTCCTATGTAACATGGATGTCTGGTTCACTGTAGTTGTTGCTGTTGTTGGATGTTGATCAACTTGTAATAAGCTCCATTCTTGTTCTCACAAAGGCTTGAATGAGTCCCTTGTTCTACTATCTTACCATCTTGGATCAATGAGATTTGGTCACAATTTTTAATGGTGGAAAGCCTGTGAGCAACCACCACAGTTGTTCTGTGCTTCATCAGTCTATCTAAGGCTTGTTGAACGACGCGTTCTGATTCGACATCGAGAGCGCTTGTGGCTTCGTCAAGTAGTAGGATTTCCGGGTTCTTCAGGACTGCTCGTGCAATGGCTATTCTCTGTCGTTGCCCACCTGAGAGTTGGATCCCTCTTTCACCGACTTTTGTTGAGTAGCCTTCAGGGAGAGCACTGATGAAGGTATGTGCGTTGGCGAGCTTTGCTGCTTCGAATACTTCGGCTTCGGAAGCTCCTTCTTTCCCGTAAAGAATGTTCTCGTAAATCGATGTGGCAAAAAGAGCCGGTTCTTGTTGGACAAGACCTATGTGCTTTCTCAGAGATTTGACCTTCAGTTTTTTGATATCTCTTCCTGCAAGATAGAGGAACTCCTTCATCAATTCTTTCATCGTGAATCAGAATGAAAGGGCGGAAGTGAACGTGCTATTTTCAAATCGATTGATAGATAGCCTGATCTATTCTGATAGATCGAAAGAGTCGAAACGTCTCGAGAGGGAAACTTACCGTCAATCATCACCCTCCCAGCTATCGGATCGTAAAAACGCAGTATAAGGGCTAGAACAGAGCTCTTCCCTGAGCCGCTTTGCCCAACTAAGGCTATACTCTTGCCTGATCTCACTTTAAGATTGAAATCTTTGAAGATCAAAACATCTGGTCTTGATGGATAGCTGAACTCGACGTTCTTCAGCTCAATGGTACCCTCCACGACATTTAGCTCTTCACCGACATCGCCCGACACCTCTGTTTGTCGATCCATCACCTCGAACACTGATGCCACCATCTGATTTCCCTTTAAAAGGTCAGGGGCTAGTGCCAAAGTCTCACCCATTGCTAATGCTGTTACTATCAAAACCATGAATGCTTTCATAATAGATTTGAAGCTAGCAAGCCCCCGTCCCATCAAGACCGAACCGTACCTGCATACAAAACGGGCGATGTAGTTGAGGCAATAGTAAAATTAATTCTGTTTTATTCAACGTGTTCTTAAATCACATACCACAAGGCTAAACCATAAGATGAAAAGATGAAGAACTGCGAGACACCGTAGAATATGCCAGCAATCTGTCCACGTTTAAGTGAACGTCTCGAGGGCTCAACAAGCTCCTTAGCATATAGATCGAGGACCTTCTCCTCGGAACAAAATGCAGCAACAGTTCTAATATTGCCAACTGCCTCACCGGCCAGTGTATTGGCTTTCAGGTATGCTTTACTCAAATTTCCACCATAGCCTTGCATAAAAAGTTTCTAAAACACATGGAAATTGCAGTTTCATGAGGAAATATTCGAAATTTCAGGGAACGAAATAAGCAACTTAGAGAAGTCATGATAGAAAACCTCGCTAATGTGACCGCTAATGATCAATGGATAAGTAGCCAGGACAACTAAAGTGATTCTCCAATTCAATATGAACGCAATGATGAACGATGCAACGACCAAAGCTAGATTCTGCAGAAGAATTGTCGAGCGGTCGACAACTATAGTTCGTAACAAAGTTGCATCAGTTTCTAGGCGTGATGAAAGCATAGCACTCGTGTTGTCTATATCATCGAACCAACCTATCTCGTTTCTCAACATAGCTGCAATAAACCAAAAGTTGCTCAGAAAAAACGAGTTTCATGAGTTGCTCAAAATATGTGTTCAGATTGCAGTATACCATGGAACATCTTTTCTCGAACTCGAAGAGTGAGTCGCTCTCCCATAATTCCGAAACAGAGATGCTCGACTGCATGAAAAATGACGGTTAAAACTGCACCACCACAGAAAAGCAATGAAATCTTCTTGATCTCATGTTGAGTTGTATTCCAGTCCATATAAAAAGCAACAAGAGCCTGAGAGACCCCAAGAGCAAAAAGGGGCATCTGGGATCCTGTAACGAACGCTCCAATGATGCCAACGACTCCATACATCCAATCCGGTCCGACCATGGAGTAAAGTCTTTTTGCTGAAACATGCTTCGGTTTCTCCATTTCCATTCCATCAACTCCAATCCGTCCCAGAGATTCTTTCTCAGAGCGAAAACTCGCACCAAAGCTTGTTGTTGTGCGAGATAATTCTCGCGAGTACTTTATACTACAAGGCCATATTCAAAAACAGTTAAACAAGAAGCATTCGAGAAACTCATTGATTCATGTAAAACGATGAAACGAACTTGAATTTGTCGATTCTTGTTGTATGGTAGGCTAAAGTGAGAGTGAAATACCTTGGTGGTCGACCCAACTGTCCAATCGAAGGATGGCGTTGCAGAGATGCCGTTTCTTGAAACTGTACAAGTGATGCATAAACACTGTCCGGGTTTGAAATGAGCTCATCATGGCTTCCAGTTTCAACTATTTTCCCCTCTTGAACGACAGCAATCACATCTGCATTCCTTATGGTAGATAGACGATGAGCAACCACAACAGTTGTTCGACCAACCATGACACGATCGAGTGCTTCTTGAACACTCTTCTCGGATTCTGCATCTAGAGCACTGGTTGCCTCATCCAACAGGAGGATCGATGGATTTTTAACAATTGCACGAGATATTGCAATCCTTTGCTTTTGTCCTCCAGATAATTGGACCCCTCTTTCACCAACCTAGAACAACACATCTAATATTATTTTCAACTTAAATTCTCATCGTTATTTCTCAGAGATGGATAATATTACCTGAGTTTCGAATCTTTCAGGGAGATTGTTTATAAACGACAATGCCTCAGAAAGTTTTGCTGCACGTGTGATGTCCTCGAGTGTTGCATCATCTTTTCCATATAGAATGTTCTCCCTAATGCTCGTAGCAAAGAGGGCAGGCTCTTGATTGACCAGACCAATTTGCTGCCTAAGCCACTTGAGATCCAGCTCCTTGATGTTATTACCATCTAGTAGAATCTCTCCAGAAATCGGTTCATAGAACCGTTCGATCAAAGATATGACCGTGCTCTTTCCTGACCCACTTCCTCCTACAAGAGCTACAATCTTGCCCGCAGGAATATCGAGAGATAACTTATTAAATATAATTACATCTGAACGAGAAGGATAGCTGAAACTGACATCCTTGAATTGAATATGACCGTCGAGCTTGTTTAGTTTCCGACCAGTTTTGGAGCTGCTTTTGCTAACTGTGTTTCTTTCTATCATCTGAAAAATAGGATACGCTGCTGCCTTTGCTCGAACGAAGGCAGAAATATCTGGTGCAGCCTGCCCAAGTGACCTGAAGCAATGTAACCATTAATAATAAGTGCAACCATTAGCATGAAGCTTGGATTACCAGCTCATTAGAATTAAGGTAGCACTCATTTTGAGATAAGCTGAAAGACTTACAGGCCAGAAATGACAACATTAAGCATTGTGGTGAAGGAGTCTCCACCATTGGCAATGCCCTTATGAACAACAATGCTGGTAAACCACACAAGCAGAGCCCATGACAAGAAAAGTACACAATGCATGGATCCCAGGCCAAGTCCCTTAGCCAGCCCTGCTTTTCTTCCATACTTGTAGGTATTTCTGAGAGCTCCTTTGTATAATCCTACAGCCCTTTCTTCCCCAGCAAATGCTTGAACTGTTCTTACATTTCCTAGAATCTGAGAGGTCAAAAACAGAAGAAAAGGGATGAAGAGAGCTACAATATACAGCTCTTAAGCAAAGAAAAGGTGGATTTTTTTCCACCCGAAATTGAATCATCGACTTTTAGAATGAAAATTGATGCTTTACCCACTATATGTTCGAATTGACTTAAAAAAAAGCTGGTTACCATTTAGCAGTTAACATATTTAAGTTTCGTACATATTATTTAAGGCAACTATAATACATTTGCTTTCCTGTAATGACCCAAGCCCACCGCTAGGAGATATTGTCCTCTTTGGGCTTTCCCTTTCAAGCTTTCCCTCAAGGTTTTTAAAACACATCTGCTAGAGAGAAGTTTCCACACTTTTATAAAGAATACTTCGTTCTCCTCCCCAACCGACATGGAATCTCACAATCCACTCCCCTTCGGGGCCCAACGTCTCGTTGGCACTCGTTCCTTTCTCCAATCGATGTGGGACCCCACCAAATCCACCTCCCTTCTGGACCCAGCATTCTTGCTGGCACACCGCCTCATGTCCAACCTCCATTGGGGCTCAGTCTCCTCACAAACACATCACCCGGTGTCTGGCTCTGATACCATTTGTGACAGCTCAAACTCACCGCTAGCAGATACTGTCCTCTTTAGGCTTCCCCTTTCGGGCTTTCCATCAAGGCTGTTAAAACGCATCTACTAGGGAGAGGTTTCCACACCCTTATAAAGAATGCTTCGTTCACCTCCCCAACTAATGTAGGATCTCACAAAACGTAAGGTTCATAAGGTTAAACTTTTACATAATGTTATTAATCATTCAAAACTTCAACCCAACGAGTTAACATACATTTAATCGAAACAATGTCTATATGAGTAGATCAGAGAAAGTTCTAACCTCTTCAGCAATCTCACCAGCCTTGACATAGGATTTTCTTATTTTGGCAATAAGTCCAATGGTGACAAAAGCATAGAGACCACCAGCAAGTGCAATCAAGGGAACAATAGATAATGTGACAAGACTGATTTGCCATACCCTCACAAATCCAATGATAAACCCTGATATAAACCGGCTTATATAGTGCAAAAAGTTCCCCACCTGCAAAACCCACCAACTCTTTCAGGCATTTCATCAAACACCTTAACCGCAGCTCATTTGTTCAAGATAAAAACAACAGAGTAAAGAGATCAAAACAAAACTTTACAATTCTAATGCTAAGAACAACACATCATACTTAAATCTTAGTATTCAAATCAAGAATCAGCTAGTGCAAAAAGTTCCCCACCTGCAGAACCCACCAACTCTTTCAGGCATTTCATCAAACACCTTAACGGCAACTCATTCGTTCAAGATAAAAACAACAGAGTAAAGAGATCAAAACAAAACCTAACAATTCTAATGCTAAGAACAACACATACTAATTAAATCTTAGTTTCAAATTCAAGAATCAGCAGTTTAATTTCTTTGCATCTCAAAATCTAAATTAGCTCATATTGACACAATAAACACTGAAGACCCATCATTAATGGATGGGTTACAACAATAATCGTACAAGAAATGAATGCATGAACAACTAAAATTGATTTTTTAAAAAGGGTTTAGATTAATTTGGGAGTAAAAGTAAAATAAATTGAAATTTTTGATGAATTAACTGAGAATGAATGAGCAGCCTTACCAACGCAGCCGCGACTTATTTAATGTTCTCAACCATTGCATTTACTCCACACTCATTTATCAAACCATATAGAAAGAAAATGTCAGATTCTTTTATGTCAAACATAAATTCACTACCATCCATCACTAATTGCATTAAATTTTTATTAATATATATATATTATTATTAAATTATTAAAAATAGCCGTCAAATGGAGAAAAATTGAGACGTGAATTGGATAATCACACAGTCTTAGGTCATCACTATTTCATGTCTCTATTTCCGTCTGACATTCTAAATGATTTTCATTTTGAAACGTTAATAAAAAATTCCAGTATTTCGAAGCTGGTTTAAGAACGATGCATGGTAGGTCGGAGTCGGGTAACGTTAAAAACAAGAGATTGTCGAGTTACCTTTTCGGAAATGGCATCTTGAACAACAACAATATCACTGGTAATAGCAGCAATGACTTCACCGGTTGAAGCTTCAGTGTCAAAGAGGCTAATATCTTGACTCAACATTGATCTTAAATAAGCCATTCTCATTTTGGCTGCTTGCCTTTCTCCACTATGCATCCAACAAGCCACCTCTGCATTTACCAATTTTTTATTTTTTATTTTTTTCAAAATTTTCAACCATTTTTTTAATTTAATTTTAATTTTAAAATTTTTTTAAAAATTACCATACCTGCCCATGATGAGAATAGTATAGCCACACTTAGGTATAAAAAATCCAAAGAGTACTGCAAAATAAAAAGTAATAAAAAATTAGCCTCTTTTGCTCGAGAATATAATGCATTGACCAGGTCAACAACGTCGTGTTAAACTATTATCTCGAGTTTTTAGTTTCTGGGTTTCGTTTAATTTAAGCTTGTAAATGTCATTTTCACTTAACGATTGTTTGAAAAAGAAAGATGATTATCAAACGTGCGTATTCAAAAATGTATTTTAGAAAATGATTAGTGATACCCTTCTTAACTATTATACTGGATTTTTCATGGTACCCGTTAAACTACCATTCTAGATTTTTGGTTTCTCGGTTTTTAAATTTAAGCTTGTAAATGTTATATACACTAATTCCGTTTTCTTGTTTAGTTACGTTGTTTTTGTAATGTAACAGCTCAAGTCCACCGCTAGCCGATATTGTCTTGTTTTGTCTTTGCCTTCTCAATTTCTTCTCAAGGTTTTTAAAAAGTGTCTATTAGTGAGCGGCTTACGCACCCTTATAAAGAATGTTTTGTTCTCCTCCGTAACTAATGTGGAATCTAACCGTTTCAAAAACAAATTGTTATCTTGAATTTAGTTTCTCGGTTTTCAAATTTAAGCTTATAAATATTATTTCCGTCAACCCGTTTCCTTATTTCGTCACCTCGTGATACCCAATTAAACTATTATCCCAAATTTTCAATAATACCGGGTTAAACTATTATTTCGAGTTTTTAGTTTTTGGGTTTTCAAATTTAAGCTTATAAATATTATTTCCACCGACCCGTTTCTTTATTTCGTTACCTCGTGGTACCCAATTAAACTATTATCCCAAGTTTTAACTTCTCGGTTTTCAAATCTAAGCTTATAAACACTATTTTCACCGACTAGTTTCTTAAATAAACTTGATTATGAAACGAGCATACCTTGGCAACTTTTGGAGCAGCTTCTTCGGGAAAGAGATAAGCCATACCAATGATATTAATAAGCTTCCCAAAGAAGATGAAGAAGACAGGAACAGAAGCACCATGAAGACAAGCTCCAATGGAACCAAAAGCCATGAGAAAATAATCATAACAATCAGCAAAAGCAAAAAGCTTATAAAAAGCAACTTTGTTTTGGTGTTCCTTCTTCTTCTTCTTCACTTTGTGTTCATCCTCCTTGTCCATGGCCTCCTCCTCGTACGAACATGATGATCCATGGCTTCTCATTTTCTACCAGATCTCTGCAACAATGGAGGGAGTGTAAGAGGGTGTAGGTATTATAAGATGTGGTGGGAGGTGGATAGGGAGAGGGGAGTTGGAGGGTTATGTTAAATGCACTAAACAACCCTTTTGTGAGCTCCTTTGTCTTGTGATGGGCAGGTTTTTGTTATAAATGTTCGCTTAACTTTTTGGGTCGGTTTGGTTCGGTTCGGTTTGGTTCGGTTTATTTGTTGAATTATTGTCGATAATAATCTCGATCACTCGTCAGGTTGGAGGTTGGAGGTTTGAGAGAGAGAATTGATTATTCAGTGACGATATTTGAGATTGTTCAAAAATACTCTTAAACTTTTAAATTAGTTTATGAAGATGGAATTAATCTGAGTAGAAAATATATATTAACGTAATAATTTTTTTGATTTTTTTTTATAAAGGTAAAAAAATGATAATACTAATTTTATGAATATTTTTTAAACCGTTTCTATGTATTTTTTATAAATTAATTTTGCAGTAAATTATTAAATTTTATTCTCATTTGAAAATCAAATAATTCGAATACCTTATTTATTATTATTATTATTATTACTATTATTATTTGAAATTATTTTAATGTCTTATTATTACAGGTAGAGCTCTAATTTTAAATTGGGATACTTAACGTACTAAACAAAAATATTATAAATATTAAAGGGTAGGGTTGAAATTCTTTTAAGTCAGCTTAAAATTTGGCGACCCGAACAATTCAAATAGAGTTCATAATACATATTACGTTAATAATTAAAATCTCATAAAATTACACTGCATCATTAACGTTAATTACAAACGCTAAATATTCTGGTTTTTTTTAAAAAGTAAAGTCGAGTTGTAACCCTCTTTTCGGGTTGGTCGGGGGGATCTGACTAGAAAAATATCAACTTGCAAATTGAATTAAATTTTCGATTTTCCGGATATTTAACTCGCATATTAACCCTTTATGATTTGGGTCGGGTAGATTGAATTATAATCTATTAACATCTAAATTAATCCGTAATTAAAACGAATTAATGGCTAATAAATTAATATTTACATTGACTTTTAAAAGATTAAATTTTTATTTATTGAAAAATATAATTTTTAAAGTATTCATTAAAAAAGTGTGTGCGGTTGGGTTACTAAATATTTCCAAAATTAAAAACTGAAAAAAAAAAAGAAAAAAAAAAGGGAAATTATGAAACAGAAAGTGAAAATTAAAGATGTGTGGGGAGGGGAACAATAATTAAGTGTATAATAATTAAAACAAGGTCCTTCATTTATAATATTATTACAATTGAACCCACAATAATTAGGTATATAATAATTTCAACAAGGTCCTTCATTTATGTTGTTATTACAATTAAACCCACTTTTCTACCTGCTATGTGTGAATCACTACTTACCTTTGTGATCGAGTCAACGAATCGATTTTAATCTTAAACTTTCGAATGAAATTTGTTTGTATTTAATTTGGTTTTTGAAAATATAGAAAAGATTCGGTTTTTATCACTAACCTTAATAAGATAATGTATGCGTTTTGCACGAATCATACCAGATTTGTAGAGATATACATGAATTGGATTTGATTGAATCGGAAAAATCTTTTTGACTTAACGTGTGACGCTCGAGCAAAGGAGAGATACATTAATTGTAACAATTCAAGTCCACCGCTAATAGATATTGTCCACTTTGGCATATTACGTATCGTCGTTAGCCTCACGATTTTAAAACATGTCTGCTAAGAAAAGGTTTCTACGTCCTTATAAGAAATGTTTCATGGCATCTCACAACTCACCCCCTTGCGGAGACAACGTCATTGCTCACTGACTTTGATATCATTTGTAATAACTCAAGTTCATGTTACTAGATATTGTCTGTTTTGATCTGTTACGTATCGCCATCAACCTCACAATTTTAAAATGCGTCTGCTAGGAAGAGGTTTTTGCACTTTTATAAAAAATGTTTCATGTGATCCTACAATCCACCCCTCATTGGGGGACGTGCCCGGTGATTGACTATGGTACCATTTGTAACAGCCCAAGTCCAATGCTAATAGATATTGTCCACTTTGACCCGTTACATATCGTCGTCAGCCTCACAATTTTAAAATGTGTTTGTTGAAAGAGGTTTCCCCACTCTTATAAGGAATTCTTCTTAGGATCTTACATGGATGAACGAGGTCATATCTGAATGAGGCAATCCTAAGTATAGGATGACTAAAAAATGCTTAAAAAAATTAAAAATGTTACATATACCAACAAGATGCACCTTCGTTCTCGTAGGCTCTATCATAGGAACTCCGAAGTTAAGCATGTTTTGCTTAGAACAATCCTATGATAGGTGGTCTTCTAAAAGAATGTTTCGTTCCCTTTCTAACCAACGTGGGATCTCACAATCTACCCTCGTCCCTTTCGAGACCCAACTTCCTCGTTGGCACTCGTTCCCCTCTCCAATTGATGTGGGATCTCACAATATACCCCTCTTTGGGGTCCAACGTCCTCGCTGACACACCAACCATTGTGAAATCCCACATCAGTTGGAGAGAGGAATGAAATATTCTTTAAAAGGGTGTGAAAATGTCTCCCTAGCAGAGATGTTTTAAAAACCTTGAGCGGAGGAAGTTCGAAAGGAAAAACTTAAAGAGAACAATATCTGCTAGTGGTAGGTTTGGACGGTTACATCTGGTATATACTATCGAACAAAAAAAATAGAGATTTAAAACGCCACTTGCATACTGTTGACTTTTTTAAAAGTCCACACAAAAAAACAAAACATAATTTGCGAAGAAAGGTCTAAAAAGGTGTAATATTTGTTAGGTCGTTCCGAACCAAATTGTATTTATTACAACGCTCAATGGCCCATGAAGGCGGGTCAAGATAGTTTAATATTAGCTTCCATGAAAGTGTATTTTTGTTTCTCTTTTCTTTTTTAAAATAGAACGAAAGTACGCTTTCAAAGTTTATGGAATTGTCGATGAAATATCAATGTCATAATCACATATGTTTAAAATGAGAACGAGAGTTCAAATTGCTTTAAATAAATAGGTCATTCTATTCTCATAATCGCTTTCATTCAAATATAGTTTTAGGTCATTCCCGTACTCTTTCTTTACCCGAGTGTCATAAATACCTTTAATGTAACAGTTCAATCTCATCGCTAGCAGATATTGTCTATCTTGGGTCGTTACGTATCGTCGTCAGCCTCACAGTTTTAAAACGCGTCTAATAGGGAGATGTTTCATTTTTCTCTCCAACCAATGTGAGATCTCACAATTCACCCCTACCTCTCTCGCACACCGCTCAGTGTCTGACTATAATACCATTTGTAACAGTCCAAGCTCACTGCTAGCAGATATTGTATCGTCGTTAGCCTCACGATTTTAAAACACATCTAATAGGATGAGATTTTCATACTCTTATAAATAATGTTTCGTTATCCTCTCCAACCAACTTCGGATGTCGCATTTAAACATTTACTTTTTTTTTAAAAAAAAAGATAAATTATAATTAAAAAAAATTGATTAATTTAAGACCTATTAAACGTGAAATTTAAAGTTACCGACCTATTAAACAATTTTTAAAATTTAGAAATCTATTAATTACAAAAATTTAAAATTCCTCCACGTGTATGCTTATGTATGGATAATAACCGAAAGAAGAAAAAAATTATAATAAATATTTGATATCAAAACGACGTAAGAAATGTCTCTTCCACGTGTATGCTTATGTATGGTTAATAAAGGGAGCTTTTATTATATGTGGTTCAAAAAATTAAAAAAAAATTATACAATATTTATTTATTTATTATAGTCTAAAATTAAAAAAAAAAAAAAAAAAAAAAAAA